AGCTGAGCGCCTTGTGGGCGCGCGCCAGCTCCCCGCCGGGCCGCGTGTCCTCGGGGAGCTCGCAGCGAGCCGCGAGCCCGGATAACTACCGTGTTTCTCGCGCTCGGCCCTGCGCGTAGCCTCTCCCAGCCGTCGCGCCGCAGCCCGGAGCGCCGTCTCGTCGCCCGCCGCCGGGTGGCGGACCGTCACGTCCACCCACCAGGGGCCGTCCACCTCCGCGTGCTGGAGGTCCAACACGGCGCGTTCCAGGACCGGCGGGCCGGGCCCTTCTGCCGGCCGCCGCGCACGGTGCCTATCCCGAGCCGGGACTCGCTGTGAGAGGCACGCAGTGGCGCCACCTCCCGGCCAGGCCCCCCAGCGTCTTCTCCAAGTCGCCGTGGCGCCTCACGACGCCCCCGCCAGACGGGCAAGTGCAGGCGTGGTAGTCGTCTTCGTCCAGCGGGGCCGCGCAGGTGGCGCCGCTCGCCGTCTGGTTGCAGCAGGTAGCAGAGGCCCGAGCCAGCTCCGCGAGCGAGCACTCCGGCCGCGGCAGCTGCAGGCGGCGGCGCAGGGAGGTGCTCCAGCCCACGTCCTCCAGGACGCGGAAGGGGCTCCATCGGGTACTGCAAGAAGCCGCCTGCCCCAGGGCCGCCCGCAGACAGCAAGGTGGCCTTGCTGCGAAGATCCACTCGCTGCTTGGCAGCAGCGTGAGTTTTCTTGTGGATAATCGCAACGACCGTCTTCTGTCGCGTCTACTCCCGGAGTGCAGCAGCCAGCGGGCCCCCGGGGAGGGCTCGGCGCCCTGGCGCGCCAGCTCTGCGCGCGCCTCTTCGAGCTTCACGCGCGTCTGCGGCAGCGTCTCCAGGGCGTCTGCAAGCGAAGCAGCGCCGAGGCCGCGCTGCACCTCGCCTGCCGCCTGTGCCCAGGCCGCCCAGTACGCGGCCGCCCTGCGCGTGGCCGCCCACTGGGCCCCCGCGCCACCCGGCTTCGCCGGCAAGCCCAGCAGGTCGCGAGCCTCGGGCCCGAGCGGTCGCTCCGCCAGGTCCTCCCAGCAAGCGCGCAGCGCGGTGTCGTAGCGGGGCGTCTCGTCGTCAGCTGCCAGCGCCAACTGCAGGTTGTGCTGGCTGGCGTTGCCCGCGTAGGCGCGCAGGATCGCTGCGGCGGCCTGCCGGAGGAGGCCCCCGTGCTAGAGCTGGCGCAGCCGGCCCCCGAGCTGCCGGTGCGTGGCCTATTTGTCTCCTACTTGTCTGGCATGTTTTGCTTATCTGTCACTCACTTGTTACTTTAAGGCGCCTCGAAATGAATGAATTTTTACCAAACAACGCCGGCGGCTTGCGCAGGAGAGACGAAATTGCGCGACGATCCCCGGCGGCCGGCCGCCGGCGCCCCGTCGCCGGCACCCAGCCGCCGGCCGAAGGAGCTTGCCTCTCTGCAAGGCGGGCCCTCCTATAGGGCCGCCCTGCGCCCCCTCGCCTCCCCGCCCGATGCCTCGCCCGGGCGAAAAGCTGCTGGGGCTCGCGAGGCGAGCGCGCAGTGGCGCGCCGTCGGCGCGACTTGCCGCCCCTGCGACGGCAGCGAGGGCGGGCTGGGACCCGCCGAGAAGGGGGGGAGGCAGGAAAGGGGAAACCACAACCCACGGGAGGAAGGGAAGGGGAACGGACAAAGAAGGAACGCAGGAAGGGGGAAGGAAGGAGACAGGGACGGAGACGGAAGGGTGGGGGGGGGCTCGAGATGCTCGCCCAGCCCTGCGGGCCTCAGACGGCAGAGCGCGCGCGCGACGCGCTGACGCTGGGATGCTAGCTCCGTGGCAACGTCTCCCCGCGCGCGCGCTCGTGCGCGCTAACATGATTTGCCAGCCTCTGTTTTACAAATAGTTACTTGTATGTTCGATGTTCGCTGAATTTCGTGATCTGCTTCCTGCTACTTTCAAGCGTTTCAAGATGGCAGCACCTGTCAATGTTGGGGACATTACAGTCCTCCATCTCCTCCATCTCCTCCTTGTCCCCCCTTCGACCGTTTAGGGTGTTATACCCCCCTTCGACTGCAGATGGGCCCCAAGGCATTTCCCCGGTTACAGCATTCGGCACTGGGCTCTCGCGGCGCGCAGCGTCGTCCTCCGTCCCCCTCATCCCCCTCTTCCTGTCTCCTCCTCCTCCTCCTCCTCCTCCTCCTCCTCCTCATAATCTTATCCCCTGCTTTCCCCCTCGTCCTCCATACTCCCCATCCACTCCTCCACTCCTGACATCCTCCCCTCCCCTCCCTGATATCACGAAGGAAGGTCGTGGCATTTCTGTTGCCTCCAGGGGCCCTTGCCTGGCCCGGGGACCGTCATAAAACGACCCAGAATGACAGACTGGTCCCCGGGCAGAGGTTCAGACCTCTGGGGAGCCACGTTGCGAAATAAACACGACGTCAGATGTCTGGGCCTCCTCCCGTTTTTCGTCCCCTCCTCTCCCCCATGCAGTTATCCCTCCCAACACTCCGCATTTCCTCTTCCCCGACGCCTCCTTCCCCACGTTACTGTTCTTGAAGGTGCCCCTTCGTCAAGCTCCCTTGTTCTTGCCCATGTCGTTTTGTGTCCCGCTTCTTGAAAGTTTCCGCAGTTTTGTTCCCCGCCGCTGCCAGATCTGATGTCCCCTCTTTCTCCTCGTCTCCCGTCTCCTTCTCCGCATCCCTCTCCCGCTTCCCCCCATCCCTATTATTCGCCCTCCTCCACCTCATGCTCCGGAACAGGGGAGAAAAGCGGGTACGGCTCAAATTAGAGAAAGACTGGAGGAATCATAACAAATTAGCGTTCCAGGTGCGAAATACGTAAAGCATGCTTGCAAAATTGTTGACCCCTCGAGCGACGCACCTTGTTCGACAGAGTGAGTTTCGCGCTCCACGCCAGCGGATACACACCACATCAGAATCATTGCCACCATCGCCTTACGCACACGCGTTAAAAGCCATCGATGGGTCAGAAGCAACGGAGAGAACAATAACAGAACTAGCATGTTCTCCTTGCAGAAGATTCCGATCATGGCCAAAATCGGCAGAACTTATCCACAAACCTTTTGTCAGAACACACCAGTCCCCGCGCAACGGATGACATTTGAAAGCGGCACCGAAGATCATCATGGTGAAACCATGATATGGCGGTGCAGGCAGTTATCGCCCTAGGCGTCTAAAACCAGTCTGGGTACGATAAGTGTTCGAAATGATGCAGGCCAAGTGATTCCATCTAAGCCGAGCAGACTATTGATGAGCCTTGGCCAACAAAGCAGAACGCGTATGTTAAATTGGGTATACCAGCCTAGTCAAACCTGATCGCTAGCAACAGCGTGAGTCAGACCCGCAAGACTAACTGAGCAAGCTAAGAAGCTTGAACATCGCAGGATTATGCACATGACTTGTATTACAAAGCTGCATCATCCACACTGGGCGGGCTGAACGAATGGGTTCGGCTTGCTAGCGCTGGTACAGTCCAACTAGAGCACCAGACCGAGAGCAGGCCTAGCTGTTTTTATTGACTTGGATGCCAGAACACAATCAAACAAAAGCACGACGTCATCACTCGCATGCCTGTTTTTGGAGGCTGACATACATGGGACAACACGTGCGCATGAAACTCAGCCAAATTAGGCAGAGAATACACCCGCATGAGCCATGGAACGCAGCTGCCCAAAATGGCACGTACGCCTGCAGACAATTCGCACTCCTCATCGACAAGCTTTTCAATACCATCAAGCTGCGAGAGTGTATCCAGCTGAGACTCAGTCTAGACTCACACACATAAAGTCAAAGTCGGATGTGCAGAAACTGTCATGCGAAATGCCCGCCTGATTGACACACGAGAGCATTGCTGAGGCGTTCAGGGGGATGCCCTCCCAAAGCGGGGTCCTGGTGAATGACGCGAAGCGTGGCCTCGCTCCAGCCCAGGATGAGAGTATGATTATGCTCGAGAACTTTACTGTGACCCTTAGAGACATCTTCCATCGCGCTCTTCACATTGTCGGTGACAAAACCCACGAGGACGGCGACGATGACTAGGCAATTCACGAGACCCATGCAGTATAACACCTTAAGCATCACGGAAGCCCAGGTTCCTTCCTCTTCTGGCCCGTCCACGCCTGCCGAAGTCAGCACCTGAACGGAGACCGGGACTGCCACATCCTCCTCATTCGCCCCGCTACCTCCTCATCCCCCATTCCTTCCTCCCACAGTTCGGCTGCCTCCTCCTCATGGTCATGGTCGTCCTCATCCATGCGTTCCATAACTCCCCCCAGTCGCACCACCAGACGCGCCCGCAGGCTGGGCTGAGCGTTTCGTTTAAAACTTTCTCATCGTCGATGGCCCAACAATTTCAACAATTACATGAATGGAGGATCGGTCGTTTCCAGACTGCAGCTCTCGCCTTACCGCCGCGCACACTCGCCTTAAAACGCCCAACAGATGTAGTGATGGAGGCCGCTTCATTTTCAAAATGAGGCTCTCGCCTAGGCTCCGCGCACGCTGTTTTTTTGTTTGGGAAGGGGAGGTTCGGGAAGGAGGGGGGGCGGACACAGCAGCACGATCAAAAACACAGCGACGCAGACGCGAAGCCACTGAGCTACCTCAAATGGCGCGCATTTGAGCGTAATTGAAGCGTCAAGTCACACACAAACACACGTCCAGCGTCGAAAGATGGCGAATATAAATGGTCACTCTCGCACTCACAATCCGTGCCCAACGATCGTTGACGCACCGTGAACTACAAAACTTGCAGTGGCCCTGGGCCCCAGACTCGGGTAGGGGGACATTGGAGGAAAAGAAAGAAGAAGGAAGAGGAGCAGGAGGAGGAAGAGGAGGAAGAGGAGGAGGACGAGGAGGAAACACCAAGAAATATAGTCAAGGCGAGATCGCAAATACCCCTATCGAGTGAAGTAGTACGCTGGGAAACTCAATGAACTCGGACACGTTGTACATGGTTTAACCTCCGCCACACCCGTGTCGCAGCAAAGGTGCCCAACGGCTGCCGTGCCCCGCTGCCACGGCCAGGGATGGCGACACGCTCTACGCGGGCGGCAACTCCACGGGCGGCGGTGGCAGAGCTACAGCAGTGTTCCTTCCTATCCTGGAGCTCTGCAGGCAGCCGAGGTGCAGCCGACAGAATCCCAGAGGCAGCAGGATGCAAGCTCCTGGGCCGGCACCTAATCAGCTATGAGTCCAGCAGGCTCCTCAGCAGCGACCCAGCGGACAAGGCGGCGACGAATGACGTCTTGGGCTCAAGAGCATGGTGGCAGGACCAACCTGACAGAGCATTAAGCCTGAGCAAAGCACCTGAACAGAGCTCCGACCAGTACCTCGGCCAGAGCCAGTTCAATGTAACAGCGCCCTGTTCGTTGCTAGGCCGAGAAGGCCCTTAATACAAAAAGGGGGAGGGGAGGAGGAGGAGGAGAAGGATGAGGAAGAAAGAAAGAGAGAGGAAGGGGAGGAGGCACAGAGATAAGGCTTCCAAAGTCAAACAACAAGCGATCCGGTTGCACGACGTCAAGTCTGTCATAGCACTGAAGGCAGAACAAGTTGAATGGCCCGTAACAGAGATGCCCACGTCTACGTCACCACGCCATGTGTAGCCACCTGGCAACGCAGCGATGCCGCTAGATTGGCCAATCAGACTTGCCCTCACAGAATGAAGTACACGAATCGATATCAACGATACAGAGGCTGCGAGTGGATTCGAACCTTGAAAAAGCGTCATCATAGACAGGTCCGCCAAGAGCGTCAACCCAACAACATAACACATGTGGATCATTATGAGAGCTGCTTGAATTGTCCGTCGGCCTGGTGTTTACAAGGTCAATCGAGAAACTTCCCAAAAAAACATCGCGCGGAACAGGCAGACGGAGAGGTCCCAATGCGCTGCGATCCGACGAAGGCAGAACCCTCGTGAAACATCTGAATCGTGACGCTCACGTTCTCGGACGTTGGTAAAGGATGGGTTTGGCAAGGCGTGTAAAAATCCATTGCCAACTGCTGGACAGTGCATCCGGCAAATTTTTCTGCGTACTCCCGAAGACCTGGCGACGCAGAGTTATACGTCCATGTTGTTGTGATCGTTGCGCTGCAAATGGGTAGACCCGCGGCCCACCGCGCCGAAGAAGCAACAGGTAGCATCAAGCGTTGCTCAGGCTGCCTCGACATGGTCACACAATTCCAGCAGGTGAGCTGGTAGAACAACCCTATCAGGCTTCCGATGCCCCCGTGACAGAGCTGATATGGCTCCCAGTCTGGTCTTCTGAGGGCCTCCTCCATCCAGAAATCAATTGAATTTTCAACGAAGCAGGAACCGCTGAGGCAACCAGCGCAAATATCGTCCCGATCACCCCAGCGCTCGTCCCATAAATTCCGCACCGCCATTACCCTGGCATTGTAGTCGCCCCCGTCGACGTAGGTCTCCGCAGGGAACGATGGGCAGAGGGCAGATCGCCGGCGTGCGGTAAAAACTGTGTATGATGGAAGTGCCCGTGTTCGGCGCGTGGAACCACGCGAGGGGCGCCAGGAGCCCCGCGCGCTGCTCGGCGGTGAGCTCCTGAGGAGGTGCGCCCGCGTCTGCCCCAGCTCCACTCGCACCTGCTCGGGCTCTGCCTCCGCAGCCCCCTAGCCACCCGGGTCATCGCACCGCGCGGCCGCGCCACGGCCCGCGGGCCCGCGGGCGCGCCCGCGGCCGCCGCGCACAGGAGCCAGGCCGCAGAGGCGGCCGCGATCGCCACGCGGCGCATGCTGGCGGAGGAAGTGCGACACAGCGGTGACTGTGTGGAGAAGGTTCCGCCGGGCGGACACTTGAACCAACGAAAAGAGTATGTACACTGATGTAGTGCGATTATTGAAGCGACTATTGTTCAAAATGGAGCTCTCGCTTGGGAGCTCTCCAAGGGTACGGCCCCAAGTTCAACAGTTTGCAACAACTGTACGGATGGAGGGCGGTTCCTTTTTGAACGTGGGCTCCTACTCGAGACCTCCTTAGGAGTTTGAAGCAACAAAAAAACGTGCCACGCTTCCACGAACGGAAACACATCCTTGTCAAATCGGAACTGTCGCTGGAAATCTGCTTGAGGTTATGGTCATAACTCTTGGCCTCCCTTATGGCTGGCAGGATCGGCGGCGTATCGTTTACACAACGGGTGATCGCATGAATGGCAGTCCCGCGGGGCGGTCGTCTGTCAAAGGGGCGCTGCCCGCAAATGGCAGCCATACCTGTATGGCACTATGATTCAGGAGCTTGGGACGCGCATTGACACGACGGTTGCCTGCGTCGCTGTCCTCCTCCTACTCCTACATATCTCCCCCCCCCTGTGTCCCTCCTCCCCTCGCCAGTCCGCCCTCCTCCACCCCCCACCCCAGTGCCCAACCTCCTCCTCGTCCTCCTCTTCCTCCTCCTCCTCCTTTTCCTCTTCCTCCCCCTCCTCCTCCCTCTTCTTCCTCTTCCTCCTCCTCCCCCTCCTCGTCCTCCGCCCCATCCCTCTGCCTTTCCCCCATCCTCTGACTCTTCATATGTTTCTCAGTCGCCTCCCCTCCCACATACCTTTTCTTCCCACCTCCCAGTCTTCCTGACCATCCCCTCCTCCTCCCCATTTTATACCCTCCCTTCCCTAGCTGTCACTCTCGGCCTCCATCCTTTCCCTCCTCCTAGTCCTCCTCCGCCTCCTCCTCTCCTTCGTTGTCCCCCATTCCCCCTCCTCCGTCCCCCCCCCCGTTCCTCCTCATCCTGCCATCGATCCTCCTCCGCGCCCTGGTTCCGCGCCCCGGAACCAGAAAGAGAAGAGGAGAGACGAGGAGGGGAAGAAAGATGAGGAGGGGAGGAGGATGAGGAGGAGAAACAGGAGGAGGAGGAGAAGGAGCTGTCCCTGGGCTTTTCCTTGATCGACATCGTCGGTTTGGGGGCCGCCCCGCCGCCCGCCGCGCACATGCCCCTCCCAGGGGCACGCCCCCAGTCTCAAGGGGCCCCCGCTCAGGCTATGGGGCGGGCGCGGCGGCGGCGGCTTCTCGGAGCCGCAGCCCGCGGATGGGCGCGCCTGCAGGGCGCTGCAATCTCCTCCCTGGCACCGCCTCGCGAGGCGGTGCTAGTCCTCCCCATGCCTTCTGAAGTTCCCGCAGGGCGCTGCAGTCTCCTCTCTGGCTCCGCCCCTCTAGGCGGTGATGGCCCTCCTCACAGTTCCCGCGCTTCTCGCACTTCTCACACGCGCCTTATCTGGACGCGTCTCTTGCCCTGCGTGCTCCTCAGGACCATCTTCGCGAAGTCTGGCCTGAGTGGCCACATGGCCCTACCGTTCGAGCCCAGCAGGGTGAAAGGTGCTGAACTTCCTACTGGGCGTGATGGCGTACTTCTGGCATATGGTCTCGATCTTCTGCTGGTCCTCCCCTGGGAGGGCCCCCCCAACTCTCCATGGATGTCCTGCGCCTCCCATTGGCTACCTTTCTCCACGTTGTAGCTGTCGGCGTCGGGCTTCGGCGTCGCCGCATCCCCCCGCTCGCGATGGCACCTGGAGATCTCGGCTCGCGCTCGCCACATCGCCGTGCTGGCGAATGCCCTATTCCCCGCACTGCAGCTGCTCGTATCAGGCTCTGACTTCGCCTCACACTTCCCGCACGCTTTGTCTCCAGGGTCCCCCTGGCGCCATCGCCGCTGACTTCTGCGCTGTCGCTGGTCGCGTTGGACTCCTTTTTCGCCTCCGTAACCGAGCCACTTTCCGATTTCGCAGACCCACCCGTGGCGACGAAGGGACCCGAAGAGGAAACGCCAGTGATATTGGGCCCCGGCTTGGCCTCCACCACAGTTGCCCTGATCACAGCACTGTAGTTGGTTACGATTGGCTCCGTAATTCCCTTCTGGCTCTGGCTTGGAGCGCGGCTAGAATAGTTGGGCTCCAGCGCTTCCTCCTGCCCGCTCGTCTCACACGAGCTCCACGCACGGCGCTGCCACTGCCCGTCAGGTTCGTCCTGATCCCAACGCTGTAGCTGATGCCGTTGGGGTCGTCCGTCGCCTTCCTCTCGCTTGCGCTCACGGTTGCTGCTGGTCGCCTCCGCGTCGTAGCTGACGACGTTGCCGTACTGTAGATGATGTCGTCGGGCTCGTGTTTCGCCTCATCGCTGTAGCTGTTGACGCCTGGCGCCCCGTGGGGCTGTCTGCACGCGCAGCCCTGGCCTTCTGGAAGCTGCCACTGCCCGCAATGCTCGCACCCTTGAGGCTGCCGCTGCCCGTCGCTCTGCCGCTGCCCGTCCTCGCACTCTCTATAACCATCCTCTTGAGGCTGCCACTGCCTGTCGCATCCGCGCCCGCACTCTGGCAGCCGCCACTGCCCGTCCTTCTCGCACGCACCACCGTCCTCCTCCGCGAAGGCCTGCATCCACTGCCAGCCCCACCACGGATCTACGGCTGGTGGCGAACTCACGAACTGCTTGACAAACTCCCACAACGCATCGCAGGTCACGAACGGCTCGGCGTCGGCGTTTAGGCTGTACCCATTGCTCCGCACTGTGGGGCTGCAGCCTCGCCCCTGTCTTCGCCTCTTCCAGTTGGGCCTGGAGCCGCGCGTGCACCTCTCGCAGTCTCTGGACTTCTTCCTGGAGCTTGCGGATGGCGTTGTCCGCACAGAGCCTCGCCCAGCCTCGCCTACCCTTTCTGTCGGCGGCCTCTCCGCCGTGGTGCGCTCCGTTCGCACCGTCCCGCTCCAAGGCGCGCATCCGCATGCGCTGGGGGCTTCCTCTATGGCGGGCCGCGGCGCCCCGGAATGGCTGCGGCCTCGCAGAGGAGCCAGCCTAGGAGGAGGAGGCGGAGGAGGAGGAGGAGGGGGAGGAGGAAGAAGAGGGGGGGGAGAGGGGGAAGACGAGCACGAGAAAGAGACGGGGAGAAAAAACTAGGAGGAAGTGAAGCAGGAGGGGGAGGAGGATGAGGACGAGGACAAGGAGCAGGAAGAGGAGACGGAGGAATGGAAGAAGAGTGGTTTGCCGATTCATCGCGAATTCAGGCAAAGGCTTCGTCAGGTTAATCGTATCAGGATGTTCTTGTTCATGAGATTCGTGCTCATGTTGCTCAAGTGAAGCCGTGAGGTCCCGACGGATTGGCGATGTACCTCTACCTCATGCGAATATGCTATGGTAGGTATGTGTAAGCCGGCCGGCCGATGGGAGAAGAGGTCGGGCGGTTTTTCCTGTCAGCAGAAATTGCTGCGGAAACAGTCTCCACTCACATACGTAACCCTACCAACCCTCATCCGGAGCGAAGAGGCAGAGCAGCTTAAAACTAGCGAGGGGAGCGTAGGTAATGACTCCCCCCCGCGGCCTCCCAGCGCGGCAATGCCGCGCGCGGCGGGACACGCCAAAAGGCTTCGGCAAGTCCCGGAAGAAAAAGGCAGACTTCACCCCT